TAAATACTGTCCGTATATTGTATATGATATTGAAGGAAGTTAGCCGTTAACACTGCTGAATAAATATAATATAAATCATCAAAGGTACATATACATACAGTGTTTAATAAGGCCGGAAATGAGCTATCCCGACTTCTGAGTGTCTTTTAATGACGTTTTAAGTTCTTCAAAATTCAACACTTTCCCAGTGTCTGTTAAATTTGGGCTAGTTGGGCTAAGCCTAATTTGTCTGATCTGCCAACCTATACCTAGGTAGTTAGCATGCCTTCTGTAAGCCAGGACCCATTAGTATTTTGCTACGTTTCTTCACAGAGGGGGTTCGTCCGAACCCCTTGAACCCCCTGGATCCGCCACTGGACCTGGCGAATCTAAACTTCAGTGACAATCGGGCAAAATGATCGTAAAATAGCATTTTGAATAGGCAAATTAATACTGGCCCTCTGCCCTAGCTGGCCGCAATACTGCTAGACACCCCAGTATTTAGGTCTTTATTTTTTATTGAATGTGATGACAATGACTAATTTAACAAAATAAGGAGATTACAGTAGAGGCTGAAATACAACTGTTGAGTCACTCATTTATTAAAACACAGCAAATTACATTTCAGCACAATTATATTGCTTCAAAATATCATATAAAATTCATGGAAACAAAATCTCACACAAGTAACAACAAGTATCTTGAAAATTAAACTAAAAACCAAACAAAAATCAACACCCATGTTATAAGAAATCAATGAATTATATACGAAACCATTGTAATTTGCTGTTATCACAAAGAAGTGGTTAAAATATTATTAATGGTAGGCTGTGTATTAAATATATCTTTCATTACAGGCTGCCTAAATAATATATAAAAGATCCTTGTAAAGGTTCACAATCTTGTCAAAAAAATAAGTGGCATATGTATTTATACAAAACCAAATGTATCTATTAAAATCATTTTTATTTTTTGACATTAAATATCACAGTTTGTCTATAAAAAGATTAATATCATAGTACAGTATTTACATTATCTTACATAAGAAATACATTACATTTTTCTTAAAATAACTTTTTTTCTACATTTTGCAATCATTATTTTTGTACACATCAATACAATAATTTTACATATATTTTGTTTATGTAACTACTTGTTTACATTCTTCTCCAGAGACTAAAAATTTGTATGGTTACATTTGGCGTAGGAATCTTTGTCTTACATTATTATATAAATATAAGACAACTGAATTCAGGGATTAAGTAGTTCTGGCTACTATTCAAAATACACAATTTTCGCATACCATAATAATAAAAACAAATCGATAGCCAACCAACCCCAAGAGCAAAACATACATTATAATCTTATTATCTGATGAGCCAACGTAATTTCATTATGCTTACGAAATATAAAAAGATATACTATTTCATTTTGACGATTATCATGTACTCAATGGCATTACTGTTTATCAGAGGCTCCAACACTGGAAAATGTGGGTGGAAGGGAGTTTCATTTTGAAGACTTGTTTACCGTCCAGACTGCCAATTGCATTGAGTCAATAATTAACAAATAAATACATAACAATAGACAGTAATTGAAAATTGAAATAAACCTCTTCACGGAAGTAGCCGATCGGGTCCACTAACGATCTTGTATTGATTTTAAACAAAACTTGTGTTATTTTGAAATGGGCTGCGTGAGTGTGAGTTGATTTGTGTCAAAGTATTAGCTGACTAAGCAAATGCTCAACGATCATGCCAGAACAATCAGGTGTCTATCATCATAAGGGATATGAGTCAATGCATACCAACAAATAACCACAAAAAAAGGCATTGTGGGTAAGATAGTACTTTAAATGTCTTCCTCTCTCAGAATCTTCAACATCCAAAATATTTTAACACATAAATAAATTCAATAATAGCAATAGTGAAGAGATTCTTCATTATTATTATTATTTTTAGAATTTGTTTAAAAGTATGAATAGATACTGAATTGAAATATAACATTGAACATGTAGAATTCAGTTCTGTTTGTATGAATTTCAGCTTCATTACCTATATAATAATAATAATAATAATAATAATAATAATAATAATAATAATAATAATAGGATGCTAATTCATAAAAAAATAAATTATTGCAGACGCCAAGTAAATAAAAACTATTTGAGATTTTTCTTGAATAAAACTAAATCTACGGACTGTCGAACAGAAAAGGGCAATTCCACGAATGAAGCTTGGATCATCAATATATGTTCACCAATAAGAAAATTAACAATCATCGGTCCATGCAGGAAAATATTCATATAGATTATAATATCCAATTCCTTCCAACATGTTGGAATTATGTGTGTATCATTATCAACCTTGAATAATCTGCAATTGAGGGTTGTGTACTATAATTATCTATCAAGGTGCACACTCAAAAGTGAGTTATATTGGTACAATGCATAATTCATCTATTTTACAGATATATATATATATATATATATATATATATATATATAGTCTCTTGCATCTGTATGCTAAAAATATGCATTGATTATTTAGAATAAATTGAAATACTGTAATCTTAAAATTGTTACTATGCAAATACATAAAACTAATTAATTATCATATAGAAAATAATTTTGAATATTATCACTAGTATAAAATAGTTATTATTGTACATGATTCGTGGTTTCTGGAACTATTGGAAGTGGAAGATACAAATATCAGGGACGTTACAAGGGACAATTAATCATGTCTTCATCTTGTATAACATTGCAACTCCATATGGAGGGGCAAAAGGAGGTTTTGGATAAATCACCATTGAAACTTGTTTGCACCAAATTAATACTTATAAATTGAGGTACTAGGCATGGGTTATAAAGCATCATAAATAAATCAATCATCTCACGGGCTAATTGCTTTCCATGATAAAAATGAATCAATGAATCATTCTTTCAATGTATTGCACTTTTGCTGGCATATAAGCCATAACGCTCAAGGTTTTCATTTATGTCGGAGGGGGTCCATTGGTGTATGTAAGCATCGGTTGTAGTGATCGGGCAAAATTGTTCATAAACATACAACTGAAGTCTTCTTCCGTCATTGGAACGAGGCAAGCGACACCGAGTAACAGAATCATCAAGAGATGGAGTGGAAGAGCAGCACGGAATACACGGCCAAAGAATGCTGGGCGCTTTGCTGGACGGTCCGATGAACTTCATAAATATAAAAAAAAATTTAAAAAACCCCTTGAATTTATTATATGATTGAAAATAGTTTTAAAATAGTTTAAAATAATTTATTAATGTAATTTAGTCCATTTATATCAATAATTCCAGTTTTAAGAAAATAAATCTTAATAAAACTAATGTCATTAAATATACAGGTCATATTGTATTATAAAACTTAAATTAAAGATATCATTATCAATAATGCTGGTCATTTCTCCACGTATCACGTTTGGAATCTTCTGGCCATTTGATTGCAGTTTTCTGCTCAAGAGTGTATTGACCCTTTAGTAAAGTCTTTGGTCTCAATGGTTAGCATTTTAAGCCACATTGGTTTGACTCTAGGTCATCTTACTCATTTACAGTAATAATAATTTGATTAATGATTTGCAAATGCTATACTGTGCTACTAAAATTCTTAAACTTGCTGGCAAAATTGTAACAGTGTTATACAAACCTCTTTAAATAGCAAGAAAAAAAAAAGAGTTCCTGTTATAATTTTCCAAAATAATAACTTATTGGAATGTAAAATTCACTTATTTAAATACTTAAATATACATTTGATTGGTGGTATTATATATTTCAAAAGAAAGTCAAAATTTGGCCAATTACTATGGATGAGTAAGTTTTTATAAAGACATGTACTGTACTTAAAACCTTTTGATTACCTTTTGGTTGCTCTACAAACTAAGCTATAAGACAAGTCTTTCAAGATATGACATATTTGTCAAATTAATTCCTTGTGATAAATCACTTGGTTATAATACAAAATGTTATTCTATATTTTAACCATAAGCATTAAATGTAATTTCATTCAATTTTATTGAAGTGACTTGGTAGAAGGTTCGGTAGATTGGCATTACTACAATGGAACAATAGAAAGAGAAATATACCTTGGCTGTTCCATTGAAGGTATGGAACCTGTTGCTATAATACTGATACCATCCAGGTCATCATCATCATCATCAACTGCAGGAATATCCTGTCTTGGTGTACTACTGAGAATGTGTTCCGTCTCTGATGCGATGCCTTCGATGGAATCAATGCCATCGGGAATGTAGGAAGATGTGGAGCCACTTCGGCTTAAGTGAGGCGACTGCAGAGAAAATATATTATCTAGATTAAACTACTGTACTATAAAGTAAAATGATGGCGCCCTCTTTAGTTCACATTTGATATACAGTTGCCAAAGACTGTTCTAACAGGCATTCTTCTTAGCATGTCCATACTCAAGCTCGATATTGTGTTTCAGCCACAGTAACAATAACAATAATAATAACAATGCCTAGCCCTATTATTACATTCTGTAAGGTCTTTACTACAATTGTATTGACGAAAGAGATTAACAAAATTATTGTTCTCATCTTTATGTTAAATGTCAACAAATGAGAAGGGTGGAATGGAACCTACCTGGTTGATGTCAAAGTCTGTTGGATCAATCACTGTCTCCAGAAGCTCCAGGTTATCATGGCAAGTCTTGCGGAGATGGTTGATACTGGTAGCAATCACCTGAAGTTTCTCTCGTGTTTCTAGACATTCTTGCGAGTCAACATCAATGAGTAACTGGTCAGCCGTTTCTTTGAGGGTCATCACGCGTGGGTGTGTATCATCAAGTTCTTGTTTTAGTTTCTAAAAAAAAATCAATATTGACAAGTTATTTTTATTTGCATATATTTGCATGTGTTCATTGAACAAGCATAATTTGAAATTTGAATCAGGTTAGTCGAATGGCCGAGTGGTAAGGCAGTTGTGCCGCAACATACAACCATAACATCAGCACTGGTTTGAACGGCATGCTCGCCTACGGTTCTGGAAGTGGAACAAGTCTTCTCGCATAAAGACAATAAACCATATGACCCGATGGTTATAACTTAATTTTAAGACACTGAGACAATTTTTTATTTGCGCCTTGTAAGTTTAATTTCTTCAAAAGTTATGATACTTTGGCTTAGCTGTAAAGGTTGAACTTGGTGGTATTTGCAACAGAGCCATTGTACATAGTAAAGTGAACAAGCGGCATAGTGCTCTACTGTACATACTAGGAAGACCCTGTATTGCTTCTGCAAGACCAGAATATTTGCCATTAGATCAATAGGTTCATTCTCCAGTTCATACTCTTCACATTGCCTCAGCCACACCAGTAGATCATCAGTAGTCTGGTGGAACTCTTCACACTGAGTCACCGCCACCTGTAGCTCCTTCTGCCAGTCCGTGGCATGGCTACACATGCGCTCCCACCGTCGATTCATATATGTCAGCTGGTCTTTGAGGTCATTGGCCTCTGGGCTGTCCGACTGAGTAAACTGCTGGCTGCATAGATTGATGGACATGGCAATTGCTTTGCGAGAGTTCAAGCCCAGAATGAATTCCTAAATTAAGAAAAAGAAACAATAACCAATAATATTTACCTATTTCAAAACATATGGTGAAAAAAATCAGTCCATAAGAGGCTATTACCAAAAACACTATATAAGCTTTAGCTAATATAAAATAAATATAATATTAAGTTTTAATTTATTTTACAATAATACAATAGAAAATATCTAACAAATTGTTATTATCAATGAATTCATAAAAAACCAAACAATTTATTACAAGCAGTTTATATGTTACAGTTATAATAATAACTGGTTAGTACAACCATAGCCCAAAAATGTCGCAAACGTGCAATGTCTAGCAAACTTCAAACCAAAAGCAAACGAAAACAACCCAAAAACAAGAATCAAGCATAAGTAAATAACCAATCCATTATTCATGAGCATAATATGAAAAAAATATTAATAAATAATAAATAACAATAACAATGATAATATTTGTAATAAATATAACAGTATATAAATAAAAATTGTCTTAGTAATAACAGTTGTTATCAACATTATTATTATGTGTTTAATGCACAAACAATGTGAATGTTTTTGTACAATGATGATTTATAATGATTTGAACAATTTAATTTTTGAATAGACTATTAGCTTTATCTGCGTACAATTAGCTAGCTGAAATTTTATATTCAAGATTTCTAATAGAAAAGAAAATAGGAGAACAAGAAATATAAACATCATATGGACCACACTCAACTAAACAAACATCTCCAAATATAATTCTTTTTGTTGGAAAAACAAAAGTCATACCGATTCATTATCAAATCTTTCTCTGATACAATCGAAAAGATTAGTAAACATCTGAAATTGGAATGTGTTTATAAATCAGAATTAAACAAATTTTACCTTTATTAAATAAATACAGACATTTATTTAAGCAAGCCATTCTCCTCATATTTGTTAATATTTGAATTACGAATTATTATTATTATTTGAATATTTTATGTTACAAGTTATTAGATGCATGAATAATATGTGAGGTCTCACCATGAAATGAGACGTATCGTTGGTAAAATCATATTGAGATATTTACCTAAATAGGTCAAAGGCAAAAATTTTACAAAATTTTTATTTTAATGTTTTTGAAATACTTGATACTTATATTTTATATTGCGTACTTTTTAAGTGAATTTTCTTACTGAAACAGTGTTCTCTGCGCATATTCTGTAATTCTAGTACTATTATTTGTACAGGCTAGTTTATCTTTGAGGCCAATTTTCTCAAAACCTGGTTCTCATACAACTAAACTTTAAAGCTAACATCTCTGGATCTATTTATCCTAGGGAAGCCATTCAAGCTTATAATGTGATTCACCAAAATATAATATAAACTCATTTTTTGATTTTCTAACGATGAGACTCATTTTGCAGTGAGACCTCACATATTGCTGCTATATTTTATTGGCATAAATAATTAAATTATGTGGTAATAAATTTAGGGATTAATGTAGTAGAAAGTCTTTAATGCAACAGATTTGGTTTGATCTGTGGCCAACTGAATGATAACATCTTATTTCATTTCATGAATATCGGGTTTACAGAACTAAAACTCAAAAGCCATCTGAAACTGGTTCACTAAACAATCTAACATCATGTGCCATAAAAGTGCTAAAGATTTTTATAATTCAAAAAACCAGACAATGTGGTGTGTAAACTCATGCAAGTGTTATAATCATCTGCATTATATCAAGCTTAAATTGCAAATGAAAAATGACTTCATGCTTATCAGCATAGTGTTATATCTAAATATACCTACCCTATATTTCTTAATGGTATCTTCCAAATCCTCTACATCTCCTGATTGGCTTTGGTTTGCAATGATTATCTCAGCTTCGTCTAACCAGCCATTCAAGTTATTCAAATCATTCTTAAATTGCTGCCACTGTTGGTAGATTTGTGCCAAATAGGCTTCTTTGTCCAGCACCTTTGCTTGCATATCTTCCCATCTATTGAGTATTGCTGTAAAATAGTAAAATAACCATTTACAGAATTACAACCAATAAATATGAGACATGTAAATGAATGCTAAATAACAATGACCACATATTAAAAAAAACAAGCGGAGAGTGAGTTAGGTGGCTAATCTCATGTTTGTTTTCTTTTATTTCAAATGTTAAAAAATTCATAAAAAATATAACTATCATTAAGAGTAATCCATTTGTTCCATCATTTTCAATCACAGGATTACAAAACATATTCACTAAGTTGATAGGGTCAAAAGTGTATGTATTCTTTATGAAAATGAAAATATGATAATTTCAGAATTACAAAAATCATTATTTTATTATGTACTATTTTGGGGGAGGGGTCAGAGGAAAGATTACTTTTTTTACCTTTTAATACAAATGGATATAAAAGAATAAAATAAAAATAGAATTTCAAGATGTAACATATTTCATAGCAACACATAGAAATGAGCATACCACTTACCTTTTACTTGTTGATTGAGTTGAGGGTTATCTTGAACCCTGTTGCCTCGACGTTTAACAGTTGATACACATGCTTTACAATCCATTACTAGTACATCCTGAAATTTCATAAAATATTAATATTGTTAATACCTCATGTATACACTAAAAAATGTTTTTTTGCTAAATTTAAAACAGTGTGTTTATGTAAGTTGCTTGATCTGTTTATTCTATATTTTTGATGTTTCATTTTCTTTTTTTTTTTTATGATGAAAAACTTAGGCATATTTTGTTGCAGGATGGACCACATAGAAATAATAATAATCATAAAAACAAATTTACATATATTGAATAATTTACCCATTAATACACCTAGGTTTTAAGAACAAGATTGTTACGTAAGCTTTGACGACACAGTGTTCAACAAATGTTGAAACTGTGTCATAGTGGTTACAGAGAGGAAATGGTTTTTATCATACTGTATTTTCAAACAAATGTACATTCAATAAATTAAAAAAATAATACATACGGTGTACATAAAAAACAAAACTTACAAATTGTTCTTTTTCAGTTTCAATTTCTGGTCCAGAAGGGGTCGGTACCGATAATAATTCGTCCATCTCTTCCATTTTCTGTGTGCATTCCTTCAGTGCCCTCTTGAGTTGTGAAATATCCATATCTTGTTGACGAGCCTTCCATTTTTCTCCTCCTGGCTCTATCCCCTCTAATTGTGAAGCATTGCATGTCACATACATGTCCCAGTCCATAGAGGCCATGCTACCTGGTGTGTCACGACCTGATCGATGCTCCCGTGAGGGTGAATGGCTACGACAAACAGGCTTCTGCTCGGTTGTTGGGGAAATCATCTTATTGAGTTCATTCTCCGAGCTGCTTGCCCGGCTTGAGCGTAATGACGGAAATGGAGATGTACGTGCTGATAACATTTCCATTGAGGAATCCCTGTGACTGCTCCGAAGGGAGCGTGTAATACTTTCCTGTGATTGGTTGCTATGGTGACTATGTCTGTCCGGACTACTTTCCCTTGATTCCCCTGTTTCATACTCGGAGGATTCTGCACCATCATTATCAATCTAAAAAAAAAACCAAATTAATACAAATTAAGACAATGTAAAACATACATTTAATGAAAGAAAATAAACATGCCAAATAATTTGAATATGCATTGTGTATCAATGTGACTACTGAAAACAAGTTTTGCTTATCAATATAGTCTATTTAAAAGTATATTTTTTTTATATATTTTTGCAAATCTATACACAAATTAAACATATAATACCATCTATGTAATACATAATTCCAGGCAAAGTTAAAGAACATATAATACTGTATATTATATAATATAAGGCAGTACCATTAAACAAATAATCCAGTGTGTAAAGTGTTCAAAATGTAATAAAAAAAAAAGTGACATTTCATATTGGTTGACGTGGCAACAAGACAAAAGGAAAATGAAGGTAAATATAAAGCAATGAAATCAAAATATAAATTAAAGAATAATGATGTTGACAACATAGTAATGAAGTTTCTTCATGTACTAAAACTATTAAAGATAAATTGTTATGAATCTATGATTAACAGGAACAAAATCTGAGTGACGGTAGGGAACTGGGGAAAGTGGACTATGTAAGGAAAATACAAACTGGGGAAAAGCATTGGTGAAGAAATTGGGTTAAGTAGCTGGGTAAAATATTGGGTGAAAAATAGCTTGGTTAAAGCACTAGGTAAAAACGTGTAACTGAGTTAATATAAGTAAATGGCTAAAGGTAACTGGGTTAAGAAACTGGGTAAATTTAACAACATTCTAAAAACTACATCTTATCTACTTAATTATGCAAAAATGTATAATTAGTAGTATGTACACCACATGTTTACACTATTGCATGCATGTCATTGATGAATTTGATTAATGAAGGACAGATGAGTACGCAACATCAAACAATTATCAAATCACAATCTTGCTTATTATATGGTAATGCATGTTGCAGTCAGCAACAAGGAAAGGGTGGGTGCATACTATACTCTATTTATAAACATGATAGACATGCCTTCAGATGCCTGTGGATAGGAGATAGGTACAATGACCATTCACAGGGATAATGGAGTGATGGTCTCAAGAATAGCATCAATATCACAAATGTTACCCTTTAGATATAATTTAAACAGAATTTTATTTGCATTTAATACACAGAAATAAAAAATTATGGTGTAAAAAGAATCTTTTAATATACACAAACCATGAAGTTAAAGTAATTAATTACAGCTACCACTAATATGTTTACCTACGGTGTGCCAACTGTACCATCTATTTTGCTGTGCAAACTAAATTTATTGATTTATTGCAATACTGCATATATTAAAAATTATGCCAAAAACTAAAATTGTGTTGCATTGCCTCACTAACTCAAAATCTTGAAAATCTGTAGGGTTGGTGCTTTGTTAAGCAAAAAATATGTTGGCTTGTTTTTCAAACTTTCAATCTTTAATTAACCAATTTGATACACTGTCACCATGGATTTTATTCTTATGAATTACAATGTTATTGTTAATGTAAGTACATTAGGATTATTTTTTTGTGTATCGTATCCTGGGAACATAAGGATAACAGTTGGTTTTCAACTGAGTTGTTAACCCAGGTTAAACAAGAAATAAATAAAATAAATAAATAAATAAAATCCTCATGGTTACCAAAATGTATGGGGTGATTGAATACCTAGTATCAAGAGTTGCTGTGCCTGAGCAACACAAAAATGTTACTCGATTATTTTGCCAAACTAAAGCTACGTTCACAGCTTGTTGCTGATTGGTTCAAGAAAAAAAAAACGTACGATTTCAGGATACAAATGGCTCTCAGATCCTGGGCCCAGATAAAGAATCCGGATTTAAAATCGTACAAATTTGATGTGAACGGTCCTATTCTTTACAACTGAACCCGTTTTTCACGATTTTTTCTCCAGATTTCGAACCGGAATCCGGGCTTGATGTGAACGTACCTTAAGTCTCAAACTAAGGTATGTCATGTGTAGGCTATCAATATCACTGCTAATTTGTGTAATAATATTAAAATGCAATTCCAAAGATTCCAGTATGTTCTCTCTTGTAGGTAGACCGTAAGTGACAACAAAATACATAAAAACCTTAATTATAACAAAGTTAACAAATAAATTGACAAGGAATGTGGAGACAAAACACAATTCTAATTGGAACTACATACCAAATATACAACACAAAATGGGTACATATGGGGAACAGACTGTGTAAAAATGAAGAAAATAATAAAACATCTAAAAGATGCTGTGGAATAATCTTACCAGACCCCCAATTGGTAAAGTCAGACTGCTAAATGTTAACAGTTCACAATATGTACCCTTTGAAACCAGAATCAAAGTAAATATTTTATGTATTGTATTGAAAAAACTTTTCACAAATAAAACACTAACACTAAACACATTCCACCCCAACCAAAACTATAAGCAATTATATTTTCATAACATTTCTACATAATCTCTCATAATTTCAAAATACAAATTTCAAAATATTATTCAATAAATGCAAACTCTGAATAAAAATAATGTAAACTTTAAAAAATATTGCAGAGCTTATGTTGGTGTTCTAAGAAATTTCTGAAATAGCTGTAGAGTATACTGTTTTAAGCAAGTTAGTTTTCAAAATTATGAAGTCAAAAACACTGCCATTTTGAAAACAGTGACATACAATTATAACAACATAAAGTGTGATAGATATATATACAGTATCTGAATCTGAAATGTAATGAGTAATTTAAACATTGTTTATGATTGAGTTTTGGGTTAGCAAAGCAGCACAACAAACAATCATGAAATTATCAGAAACTGATGGAGATTTTAAAACCTATAGAGAAAAGTGTGTAAGAAATAAATCACAGCTGTGAAAGCCATGGCAAATGTGATGAAAGGAACACAATAGAGAGAGAGAAAGAGAGTTGGTGGAGAAGTGATTGGAATAAGCGCACACCACGGCCTACCTCTGGAGGAACTTAACAAGTAGTTCATTTTGTGTTACATGCTATCTGGATTCATGGATAAGCCAAGTCTTAGCCTACCGGCCCGACCTGCTTGATTCTGTAATATAGGGGAATCATCGGGGTTAATAAAAAAAATCCACCAGGTTTCCAAGCAAAGCAACAAAATATACTTGTAATTAGTAAACACATTTTCATCAGTAAGTAGCAAAATATAAACAAAAATCTTGAAACCAGTATTACATTATCAGTACTGTAAGAATAAGTATCTATTCCATTACAAGATGAACAATTTGAATTTGTTTATATAGCTTTGCCATTTATTTATTAAAGCAATTTTGAAAAATGCTAATTTGAAGTGTCTGTAAAATTTCCAGTTTTAATCCTTTTTAAAAGGATGTCCTGAATAATTCTGCACTCAGCCTTGTGTGTGTGCTGGAATTAAGCCCTCGGCAAGGTCTATAACAATGTGTTGATTGTAAAGGTCTGCTTATCTGTAGATTATCTCTTGTACTACTGTTACTGTGTCAAGTACCTGCTCCTCAGGGCAAACAGTTGGATAGTGTTACCATTATGAAGAATGAAAAGTTGACAAATCTATGAAATTGTAGTTCTTCAAGAATCTTTGATAATAAAAAAAGGGAGGGGCAGAGGGTGAGAGGATAGAGGCCTGTGTATGAGAGAAAAATAATCAATATTGAAACTTAAATGTCCAAAAACAATATTGAACTTTTAATTCAAATTAATGTAAAAACAAATGAAATTAAATATATACTATATATATAGGATTGAACATGCTTTGTAGTTTGGTTAAACACAGCAGATTTCCTGGCAAACCTTCTATAACCCTTGTGAAAAACTGACTGAGGAGATTTTTTTATGTATGATACTGTAGTTCTGATGAAGTGTTGTGTGCTCACAAGTTTTAATAACTAGTGCAATAGATCATGCATGACCAATGTTGTGAGAAATGTTAAGTTGCAGTATCTACCAAGAGTCACTAATGATCCCTTCACCGGAAGGATCACCCCAATTTTCACTGGATCAACCTCTTTAATATTATTAAATTAAATAAACAAAAATCTCAAAAGTATTTCTCAAAATTTATCAGTAAATCCAGCTTGGCTTTAGTCTGAAGGCTGTCTCTTATACACATCTTATATACCAAAGCTGAATAAAAATATGAAAGTCAAAAATCAAAATATAAATTAAACAAACCTGTGCCATGGAAATCCGTTGAAGTTTGCGTTGAAATCTGTCGACACGAGAAAATACTTCCTCGCAATATCGGTGGAGTTCATCTAACGATTCTTGGATTATGACCGCATCGTTAGGGTCACATCGTTGCATTAATATTTGTGCACTTGAATTAATGTCATCAATTCTACTTTGGTTCAAGTCTATTTCATGTTGGAATGCCTAAAAATAAGTGCATATAATCATATATTAACTTTCTAATTCAAAACAATACAATACTAAAATTTTTTCATACTGTTCATTGTTTATAAATTAAAATAGGTGCTGTGCAATGGGAACTGTGCTTCAAATCAAAAGACAAAGGCTTCAGTTTGAGTTTTGACAAAATTTGTAAATAGTGTTGAGGACAAAAATTATATTCCGATATTGACCCTTCCTCAGGTACAATGTTCTTACCTTTATTTGTTTAACTTTAATTGAAGTATCAGATTCTGAGAAATGTTCAACATTTGTTAGTTGCAGATCTATCTCTGTTAACCAAACTAATAATCCTTCCCTCGTATTCTCGTACTCTTCTCTTTCTGACTGCATGTATTTCAGTCGCCTCAGTATACTACTGCAGCGACGGGCTAAGCTGTCCCAGCGATTGTTTGCATCATGTACCCTGGTCTTAAGTTGGTCAGTACTGTCTGTTCGGCCTTCTCGTGCAAGGCGTCGGTATTGTTTGTTTATTATTTCCAGCTGGGCTAAATTCTCATGAATCTTTCGTTGAAATCCCTGCAAAAGAAAAAAAATACTAAAATTTGAGTCTTTTTAGTTATTTTGAAAAAAAAAGCTTTTGCAGTCATTCAATGTTAATTCATCTATTACAAGACATTTCAGATTTCTTTAACCTAAATCTACTCTGCACCTTCTCAGATTTTAAAACAAGCACCTTCTTGAGCAAAGCAGACTGACATATTATATGAACATTCAAAGACAAACACTCACTTGTGCCATCCCAACACTATATTGGGATGCCATAAATAGTTTTCTTATTTATTGTCTTTAAACTTTTACTCTTACAAATATTCAAGATTAAAGATTCGCTTTTATTTGTCCACAGTAGAAAAATAGGGCAAGCGCTTTTTATGACAACAAGATAAAAAATGTGGTATATAAATTATTGATTAATGAGAGTAATCCTATTACATGCACTCTGGGAAATGCCACCAACATAGTGCCACTGAACATCGTATTCTGCCGTGGATATTAGTGCTTTATAAATCCCTGCTGATTGATTAATTGAATTTTAAGTGTAGTTTTGGATTTGTGTTTCAGGAGCATTAGAATAATGAATACAATACTTTGCCAGGTTGAGTAATTGTTGAGATACTTTATGGTTAAAATTTGAAGAGTGGTGTAAATGTGGGTAAACATTTAAAATAAACCTATGATATTTTGTAGTAAGTCTTAAGTTGTTGCAAACATGAATATGCATTGTGAGGAGCTTCTTATAATCCATAGGGTTTGCTAATGGTTGTATTATGTATGAGGAATATTCCATTACTGAACACTAGTATACTGTCTTATCCTGGTGAGTATTCACACGATAGCTTTCAGCCTTATAGCCACATGGCCTGTAGACTATATACTATCTGGTTCCAAGTTCAAACTGTTTGCGTTTTGTACTTTTATGTCGAAAAATAAAACATAGATAACAACCAGACCACTATAGCACAGGCTTTAGTCTGAAGGAGTTGGCCAATGAAACTTTACAGGTAAATTGTTATCTACGTTTTATGGTTCAACATAAAAGAAAAAAACTCGAACACGGTAAAACTTATTATATATTCACCTCAAATTTTTTAATCTCATCTCGTATGGCACTGAACTGCGTAGCAGCTGTGTCTGGATAAGAAACTGCTTTTTCAGTTTTTACAAGCCACTCTTCAAACCGTTTGTAATCTTCCATGAACTTCTGCCAAAGCCTCCACGTTTCTTCAATTCTGTTTAAAAAAAACCACAAACTTGCTTATATACTGATAAACAAACAAGAATTTATGTTTATATAATTTCCATAATTCAAGATGACATAATTTTCCCATTCAACAACTAGCCTTCCCCCACCTCAAAAATAAAATAACAAGTGTTTGCCAGTGTCACAGATTGAAAAAAAAACTGCTACATACTTAGGCCTGGCGAACACTGTACTGGAGTCAGCAACGTTAATTGTGAATTCATGACAATGCCGATGAATTGTCTTAAACAAGGATCTGTACAGACTGCCAAAAATACATTGTAAGCAACTAGTGTTGCATCGGACAAAATGTTCACACAAATTCATAGGTTGACGGTCGGCACCATACTAATGATAACACTGATACTCTTACCTCATTTTTTTCTCCATTGAAAGAGTACAGATATTGCGCCATCTTTGGTCCAAACTACGTGTGGCCGCTTGGATGGCCTCACAGTCTGCATCGGTAGAGCATGCATCGCAATCATGGAGCAACATTTCGCAGAGGCTCAAAACTGACCCAACACCAGTACTATGTTTCTCAATGTCCTTCTGAATCTCCTGTGAATGATAAAGGGCAAAGGTCAGGTCAAAGTGTTATCTAAACACAACCCTTAACATGATCATCATTATCATAAAACAAACGAACAACATTGTTCTTTTGTTTGTTTGTTCATTTTATATTGTTAATAAATGTATTAAACTCTTTTCCTCGCATCTCATTCATGTTTGGTGTTCTGAAAAGAAGTGTATTGCAGGGATAGGCATAAAAATGGGACGAAGGGCCAAAGTATATTTTTGATAACACCAAGGGCTGCACCTAATTTTCTTTTAGAACTACAGGTAGAGTACATACATGGTGTACTGCAAGCATTATTTTTTTCCTGTTAATTGTTACATTATAAATTCAATAAATAACAATAAAATAGAGTAGAGGAGAGGAGTACAATACTAAAGTAAAATCACCAACTCCCTGCATAAAACACCATCCCACATTATACTCTATGTTTAACAGTGAACACAGGCCTAGGTCCATTTATAATTTTATTTTTTAAATAATATTATGGATACATGATTAACAGTCCTAGCGAGTTATATCTGCCGACTGTATTACGATAACCACAGAGAGGTGCGCAACTCTTGTACTCTAGGCTAAATGAAAAAAGCATTCACAACAAACGTCCATGCTAGGTCGCCTGTAAGAGCTGGAGCCTCCCAACAGTACAGTACTAGGAAACATAGCGTTGGGCTATACCTGATCGTAAGTAATAAGCGTTCACCGTCCTAGTATCTGGGCCCGATTCCATGTCAAACTGTTGATAGTTAAAATATTGACACTCTAGATTTACTGTTTGATTGGTATTTTAAAATACTGTAGCATATAGACGTTATTGTCACAATGTAGGCCTAGTCCCCATTTACTATTTCTGCTTAACATTTAGGTGGTATGATACAACAGCGATCGCCATGAGAACACCATGAACCTATTAATAAATAGGTCCATGAGAACATGATGCAGGAAGTATTAGATCATGGACCTATTAATAAGGTCCATATGATTAGATCGTGTCGTTTACACAATAGCGAGCATGCGCAAAGCAATTGGGTCATCGTAATTAGTTGTAAATTGTTTATTAATTATATGATAAGAGCGCAAGTTATAACCTTTCGATGTTCGGCATGAGATGTTTTCATGTAATTTACTGTTATTATCATAAAACAAATTAACAACATTGTTCTTTTGTTTAATGAGTAAACATTAAAAAAATTTTCATTTCAAAGAGCTGGATATTTAGAGGTCAGATTGTAACCATTAAAAACGACCAAAAGTTAGGTGAACCTTTGAGATTGGTAATGAAAGTACTATAGTACAAGGCTAATTAATGCAAATATCAAAAGCTTGGATTTAATCAGAAAGAAAATATACAATCAACAATTGTATAATGATAATATGGTTGGTTGGTAAAATTAAGGTAGATTGTTCTAATGAAAAAAGGCTTATTTAAAAACAATAATATGTTTGGTAAATTATACTGTAGTGCCATATAAACATATATCTCTGAGTGCTGTTAATAGACTACTGTACATACAGTAGTAACATGAAAACAATACAATTATGGTATGTTTCTTAAATATTATGTTAAATTTAATTAAATTTGGTAAAAGGGAGTTTCATTGTGTCATCGTTATATCTTTGAACACCACAATATGTAATGCATTAAATTATTAACCTATTCAAAGATCCTGAATTAATTAAATCCAGGTTTAATATTATTGGGTTTCAGGATGTGAACATCACCAGGTATCACAGCCTAAGTTTTATCAGATCTCAACAGGCAACCTCGTAATTACATGTAAAAATAGAACAAAAATCTGTGATGGAAGCAACCTGTTAGAACATGGCCAGAACACAACTATTAAGTAACATTTTCCTTTTGAGTAGGCCTATATGATATACTATAAAGTAAGTTTATTATTACATCTTTTCATTTTTTGCAGTACTAAAGCCAGCTGTAGATTAAAAATAAACTTTTGTCAATTGATGAGACTTTGCTTATTTATAAAAAGAAACAATTTTTGTGGAAACCAAAAAAAAAAAAAAGAAAAAAAAAAGAAACAATGCACAAAAGTCAATGAAACATAACAATTGAAATACCTGTAGGGTATGAATGAAAATGTCAGACTGTGGCTTTCATGACAGATACAAATTTTACTCTATCAGAAAATTAGGTTGTTTTTTTTATAAGAAACCTGTGCACGTTAGAGAGAGACATCCGATCATTTATTGTATCTTAATATTACAATTGTTGACTGGTATGATTATTAAATTAGTAGATTTTTTTTTTACATTTTTGCACTTCATCAAGACAAACATCTAAGATAGTATTAACATTTTTTTCAACAAATAAAACTCATTTTGAAATTCATTTTTTTTATATGAAAAAGAATGGATGCTTAATAGCACACTTACTGTAGGTTTAACCATAAGAATAATTACAGCTTATTGAGAGTCATAATCACAAGAAGCATCTGTATGTAGTAAAAACTTAATAATACTCTGTGAAATCCAACATTTAATTTTAGAGTTTGTTTTCACTATGCGAGTATAAAATTTAGAAATTTATTATTTTATATGTTAAAAACTTTATAGCACACTTAGATTGACCATTAAAATAACTGCTTAATGAGGGTTCACAAGAAGCATACTTAATATTACTAACATGGTATAGTACTAATGAAAGGTACCAAAGGTAACAGTCTGCAGTAAAATGCTAATATACACTGTGAAATCCAACACTGAATTTTTAGAATAAGTATAATGAGATCACATTAGGCTTGGGTGGACTGTTACAAACAAAGGATTAAATAACAATCCTCCAAAGGGGACACTAAAATGTGCCATGCTTCATACATACAAACAACGTAAACCTAAAAAAGTTTATCACCCAACAAATTCTCAAATCAGACATGGCAATCTATATAGCCTACAGTACAGATATTTATTTAACTGTTTTCCAGGGTAAACTCAGTACCTAATTGGGTCTAGCACCTAGTCCTAGACCCTCATTACTGTACTTACAATTCTGGATAGTATTAGTAGTACCTAACGATTTATTAATTACTACACTTGTTTTTTTATAAGAGCCAGTAAAATTTTGTCCATGCTCAGTGTTCTTATTTTTTTGCCGAATGCAGACTCAAAATGTTCTTACTTTGTTCTGAATTTACATACTTTTCAAACATAGACAATTATTATTGTAAATGAACATTTTAAACATTTAATAGTATTTTAACAACCATCACTTTTATACTGAATTGAAAACTGTAGTTTAGCAGCTAATAAACTGGCTCAAAATCAAAACAAGTTAAAAACTTTCATCCTATAACAAAACAATTCTAATAAAAAATTCCAGAAATATGGCATTAAAAGCAAGATCTTTGTATCAGGGAAAAATATAAGAATAATAAAATACAGAACAATCTTTAAAAAAAACTTTAATGTATTTACTATTTAAGAACTTTTAAAAAAAGTTTACCGGTATCCAAAAAAAATAACCATAAAAGTTTAATCTACTTACATAATCACTGATGTTAAGCGCACGTCTTAACAGGGAAGTCATAATTTATTATAGCATTATATTATATATTCCAGTGTGTAAATGACAGTACAGTGGTTACAGTATATAATACTGATGCTCTTCACTCAAGCACAAGTTTGTATCTATTCAAGAGAAAAGCAGCAGACAGTCAGGTCCCACCATGGTCCCACTAACAAAAACTTAGGCATGCCAATTAACCCAGAATACCTTTGCCTTTGTTATTGCTAAATCACTTTGGAACGCTTCATTTGAATATGGGTAGAACTGAATAATTTCCATGATGCATGAATAAACTTATCTGTAGTGTTTCTGAATCACATTTAAATAATTTTACTTACTTGAGCACACAGATAACATAAAAGTTAAGAGATACAAAAGAAAGTGATAAAACAAACAAATATTAAGAGAAGAAAAAAGTTGATAAACTGACTCATCATTTTGGTATGGAAGCAACCAGTTTAAATTTGACCCTGGATTTATAAGCTTCTAAAAGAGGCCTGAAGTTATTGACCTCCAACAGTATAGTAAAAGATTACCAGCAGAATACCAGGTGCATTTAAAATTGAATGATAATTGACTTTAAATCAACATGATGTTATCATTGTACTAATGTGATAATGAACATAATGTACTTAAATCAGTATCTACTTCTTCCTCCATTAACTAACCATTTATGTTGAACACATTACTGTACAATGCAATTGTCATTCATTATATTTTAATTTACATATATTTAAGCATATTTATTACATATTTATTTCTGTACATCTATTTTATTAGTTTAGGTATGGATCTTGATTCGCATTAGAGCGAATATTTATTTCCATGCCCAATATGGCAAGTTCCCCATGCATCTGTAATGTCAGATATGTCGTAGTGAAACAGATCACTAAGAATCATTAGTATGTTTTGTAAAAGTCTTAAAAGTGGCTATTTAAGTTTATCTTGTATAATGTAAGGGGGTCCCAAGTTGGAAGAATCTACATCCAGAATATCGGTTTAAATGAGCTTTCTTAACACATCTAAATCAGGCCCGTAGCCAGTGGGGTTTAGGGGTTCGGGCAAGCCCCCTTTTTCAGCAAACCCCCTTAGCCAAAAAAACAAACCCCCATTTCCCAAACAATGCAATTTATTACAAAATGGGAGCATTTTTTGCACTGTTTATTTGTTGCGATCGATAAAGTCTGATCGTATAAATCAAAACAAAAGCTGCAACCACCAAGACTTCATAATGAATATTAATGAGGGGTTTGTTGCCTAGGTTATTTGACCAATAGCGTGCTCCGGAGATTTATTTTATTACAGTATTAGCATAATAATTATAGGCCTATGTCTATTTTTTTCTCAATATTTCTCATTTAAACAAGATACAGCTTACATTGTTTATTTTCGCTGTGCAAGTATATTTACATAAACTGGTTATGTAACTTGTAAATATAACATTTTTTCCTTGCACTAATTGTATATATTTCCAATGGAACTTAACATTTTATTATTTTAGTAAAAAAGTAAAATGTAGGGCTGTCAGTTCCTATTGTTTCTTCATTTCTGCAATAAATAAGATATTATTTGCAATATTTCTCTTTTAAGCAAAGACCTTTACAGTACATTAGTTAATTTTACATACTGTACCTCCATATTTTAATATTTAATGTTATTTAGCAATCTCATAAGGTGCAAGGTCTGTGTTTAGTACAGTCACCTAGTGGGTATTGCTAATTGTATGCAATATTTTTAGAGATAACATTTCATAGTAGCATTAAAGTGTTTTTAACATTGGTTTCTAATAAAAAAAAAAAGTTAAACATTTACATTCTAAATCCTGTATTGGAAAAAAGTAGTCTTCTGTCAAATTTTTTAAAATTGTGTAAGAAAAGTATTTAAATATACATGAACATACATTTAAATGACATGTACAGTACATGCTTTTAAAATCGTATAAATGCTCTGGCTTGTTGACAAGGGTTTTTGAGGGGAATTTATTCCAGGTAGGCGTTTGTTTTTTGGGTGTAAAATGGATATGCATTTTCTTCTTATTACCCCTTAATTTCATGGTAAATGTGGAACTACTCAAACACATAATTACCATCAAAATATGTTATTGCATGATTGATCCAAAGCAGGATAGAAAAAATGTAATTAATTAAATGTGTTGAGAATGATGTTGC